GTTTCTTGAGAAGACTATTACCAAATAAGGAAATTTTCAGGTGAAAAATGATTTACGGGAAAGAGTTTTTTTTTTTTGTTTATATATTATATATATTATACTTAATATATTTATCTTTATACTTATTCTTATAATTTCTTATAATTTATCCTTCATTTTTTTTCTATAACAATATCTTAATTTTATTATCAAAATTAGAATTTACAAATAAAAATTGTTTAATAATCCTATTAATAAATATAATTTTATATTACATATTTAAAATTATAAAATAAGGCAACATACTGTTGTCATGGGTCAAGGGTCTATCAGCAGTAACGGTGAAATCCTAGACTTCGCGACATGTCAACAGGGGTATTCGTTATAATGGAGGGATTAAAGGCAGAAAGAGGCATAGATTTGACGAGTTTGTGTGATTTGATGGAGTTTTATTGGACAGAACAGTGCAATAAGTAGATCGATTTTAACACTCTTTTATTAACTAATTTTTCTGCTCCTTTTTTTTACTATATTTTCTTACATCGTTTTTATACTTTTTCTTATGGCAAAAGAAAATAAAAGAAATAAAAGAAATAAAAGAAATAACAGAAATAAAAGAAATAAAGAAATAAAAAAAATAATGAGGTTGAGAGTTGATTACCTATTTTGGCAATTTCTATAATATGCAATCGTCGTTTTCTCAATTTCTAAGCCATATCTCGATCGTTATTTCCCCTTAACAGTTTCTTTCTTTCTTAATTGCGAGTTTCACGAGCAAACCCTTTTACTCGACTAAAACTCAGTACTCTTGCGTACTCAATTGCTTAATCTTTTTGAAGTAACGTATTCGGTCTGATAGATCTGCTCTATTCCCTATTGTTGGAATAGATAGTAGATCTGCAAACTTCCCAGGCGATAATGTAAGATAAGATAAGTCCGCAGTCCCATTCCCTCTACCAGCTGACCCAAATAATACGCCATCACTAATGTTTCAGTCCACTGACCCAGGTAAGTTGCCTTCCTTAGGTATGACAAGATCCTAATGACTTTTTCCTCGTACGTTTCCCAGGCGTCATAGGGTGGTAGTGTAATGTTCACATACACAGGTTCCATTGTCAGCAAATCTGTTATTATCCTGGTGACTTCTTCAAACATCCTTCTAGATTAGTTTCAAACCAAAGGGGGGAAATAAAACAAAGAAAGAGAAAAAAAACAAAGAATTGTGCAAAACTAAAAACTATCCTATTTATATTTGTAAAAAAAAATAAATCACTAAATAAAATAATCGTCCGAATTGATCGAACCGATCGAAAACATTTCTTTTTTTTTTCATTTCATTTTTTTTTATCATGCCAGGACACCAGTACCTGGGCTGGATTTTGTTCCTCAGATTTTTCTTTTTCTCATTTTTTTTTTTGAATCGATTAGTGGGCAATAAGGCCCGGTGCAGTTGTTATTTGTTTCTCTATAATGCTTTTAATTACGTTGTTGGCATCACATTTTTCACTTTCTTTCTTCACTCGAGATAACGTGTCCACATTGGTATGTTTCTTACCAGCACAATGTACAATCATATAGTTATATGGTTGAAGTTGCAGAATCCATCGTGCTCTCTGTCTCTTTAGTTTAGATGTTTTGAGCCACTTCAGTGCAAAGTGATCCGTGATTACTATAAAGGGTTTTATGCTGAGATAATGAAGAAAATATTCAACTCCCCAAATTACCGCTAAGCATTCTAATTCTATTGCTGCGTAGTTTCGTTCAGATCTAATCAATTTTCAGCTCATGTACGCAACTACATATTCATTTTTTTTGTTATCAATTTGTGACAATATAGTACCCAATCCTGTTCCCGAGGCATCTGTATGTAAGTAGAACGTTTGGTCAAAGTTGAGATATCTGAGGATTGGTGCCAAAATCAAGTGTCTTTTCAAAATTTTGAAAGCATTTTGTTGGTCTTCTTTCCATTTGTACGGTATGCCCTTTTCTAATAGTCAGTATAGAGGTTTCGCAATGCTAGAGAAATTCTTTATAAACCTCTGATAATATGAGGCAAGTCCTATAAATCCTCTTAACTGTCTTAAATTTCGGGGGTCAGGAATTCTTTACTTTTTCTACATTCTCTAAATTCAGTTGAATGCCATCCCTTCCTACGATATGGCCTAAAAATCCCACATTCGATAAGAAGAAACTACACTTCTCAGAGTTCAGTTTCAGCAAGGCTTTCCTTAGTTCTTTAAAAACTCGTGATAAATGCTCCAGGTGTTCTTTGTAAGTACGTGAGTAGACAATAATGTCATCTAAATATACAGCAACAAATCGTTCTATATACTCATGTAAAACCATGTTCATAAGTCATTGGAAAGTGGCCAGTGCATTACATAACCCAAATGACATAACCTTAAACTTATATGTGCCAAATTTTATTATAAACGCAGTCTTCTCGCGATCATTTTTATATACTTGTACTTGCCAATATTTACTGGCGAGATCTAGATTAGAGAACCAGCTAGCTTGTCCCAACATTTTTAGCAGGTCATCGATTTGTGGTAACAGGTATGTGTTCTTCTTTGTTACTACATTCAATTTCCTGTAGTCGACGCATAATTGCTTGCTCTGTTCTTTTTTAGTACAATAACTATAAAGGAGGACCAAGGGCTAATGGATTCCTGTATTAGGTCTTGTTTCTTCATTTTCTTTAATTCTTCTCGAACGGAATTATGTTTGTCTGGTGCCATTTGATAGAAGGCTTGCTTAATCGGTTTCATATCCCCTGTGTCGATAACATGGTGAATGACATCAGTTTGAGTTAACTCCGTGATATCCTTTGCAAAAAGATTCTTCTCTTTTTCAAAAAATTTCGTGGCTTCTTCCTATTTTTCCTTCATTAGGCAAATGTCAATGTTCTGCTTCAGGGTTCCTTCGTCATTTCGACATTTGTCATGGTCTTCATCACAGGTAGGTACCTCCTCAAGGATTGTCATATATATTGCCAGACTCTGCATATTTTTCCATGGGTTCTTATACAGTTCTCTATTTGACCATTTTTTCATATAGTACTCTTCCTTTTCTTCTAATTCTTCACTTTCATACTCAAATTCATTGCATGTGTCAGGATCTTCGTCACTTATATCCGTCTCTTCTAGTGTCTGCAAGAATGTCGTGTTATTGTGTGAAATCGAGATTTCTGTGAATTGGCCTTGATACTTAAGGTATAGTTTCTGTTCATCGAAATGAATTCTTGTATTTGTCTTCTGGAACCAATCTGTTTTCAACAAAAGAGTTTCATCTCTGGATTCAATAACTTGAAAGGTCATTGGAATGGTGATCTTTTTAACTGTAACGTTGACATTTCTAATCTTTCCTAGAGTCCTTTCTCTAGTCCCATTGGCTGTAATGATGGTAGTTATAGATTTCTTCTTAATTCGCATCTGCAGACGGTCTAAAAGTTTTTTTGTAATAATACTTACAGCGGCACCTGAATCTAATACAGCTATAATTGATTTTCCCTTGATTTTTGTGTAACATTTCGCAGCAGTGGTTCTGCAGATACTAGTGGGTCATACGTGATGAGTTTCAGGTATAGCTGCGGATCATCGTAAGAGCTTTGCTAAATTTCTTCGCTGGTTTAGATACTGTAACATTTGTCCTATTGTTGCGATGACAGGTAAAGCTAAGATATCATCTGCTACATCATTTTTCTTCTTACTTTCTTCACCGGTGACTCCTCTTCTATAGGTTGAGTATTCATCCCCATCAGTTCCACCGGGTTAACAGCTCTCCTAATCTTGGATACATAATTCGATCCATCCAAGCTACTCTCCGGCTTGTGCTTAGGTCTCCCTCTTCTAACGGATATAGTGCCTCCCACAACGTAAGTGTCCATGTCACCCTCTTCTTCTGATTGCCATTCACAATAGTGAACATTTGGTGTAGAATTTTCGGCTGTAGGTAAAGATGGATCCCTAAATTAAAGGCAAGAACATAATTCAAATGTCCCTCACTATTAAAAAAGTTTTTTTTTAAATATAAAGTCAAAAAAAAACTACCTACAAAGATTTTTTGCAATTTAGGACGCTTGATCCAAGTGTTTTTTGAATTATGTCCCTATTAAAGTAATGAATAAATAATTATGTCCCTTCAAAAGAGACATAATTGATCTGCGAAATTTTATATGCTAAATAGTTTAGGAACTCATCCTTAGCTGTAGGTGCTATTGGTACTGGTGATGCATTTTCGGGGCATTCACGGGAGTAGTGCCCTTTTCTTCTACAGTGGTAATATCTTACAATCCTTGGTACATTCCTTTGGTCTGGGGGAGTATTTCTCCTGGATACGTTGCGAGTGGCTAGTGTGGCATAATTCAGAGACATTTCTTGTACTTGCTTTGTCAAACCTTTTATTTCTTCATGTATTTGGTCTGTATAACTTTTCGTTGCCTTGTATTTTTGTTGTCAATAGTAGTTTCCTGCTTCAACTCTTCGGGCAGCTGTAATTGCTTCTGTTAATATTGTCGGAGTGGTAACTGCGACAAAGGTGGCAGTATTACTCTTGAGGCCTTTTAGGAACATGCTTACTATATAGTCCCCAGGAATTCTTTTTTCAGAGTCTACTCGAGATAGGAGTCACTTAAACTTGGCGGCATAGGTATCAACTCATTCATTGTCTTGTTGGACCAGTTCATATAATTCTTGTTGCCATCAATGTCTTTTTTCAGGTGTGAAAAAAAAACTGATCATTGTGTGATAAAAACTATGTTGCATATCATTATCGTCACACTATTGTTTGATATCTTTTTTGTTCTCGTGATATCAATCGGCAGCTAGGTTAGTTAAATATCCAGGTGCAATTTGAAGTTTTTGTCCATTTGTCCAATTGTTAGCTGTTATGGCTCGTTCAAATTCTTCCATCCATTTAACAGGATCTTTATCTTCTCTTTTAGCGAAGTATTTGACTGGCACATGGTTCATCGCTGGCATTCTTCCTTGGTTTCCATTAAGAATATTGGTGATTGCAGTTTCAAATAACCGGGCAAGGTTCATCAGGAGCTGTTTCAATTGTTCTGCATCCATTTCATTTACTTCTTTTCAATTACTTATGTTTTTTCTTCTCCTTCTCTCTGAAATTTCGTTCAGTGAAAAAAATCAGGGGAGGAAAACGAATGTCGTATCTCATGGTTCACCACCAATTCTGTCGCGGGTCAGGAGTCTATCAGCAGTAACAGCGAAATCCTAGACTTCGTGACACGTCGATAAGGGTATCATTTATAATAGGGGGATTAAAGGCAGAAAGAAGCATAAATTTGACGAGTTTGTGTGATTTGGAGGGTTTTATTGAACAGAACAGTGTGATAAGTAGGTTGATTTTAATACTCTTTTATTAACTAATTTTTCTGCTCCTTTTTTCTACTATATTTCCTTACATCATTTTTATACTTTTTCTTATGGCAAAGGAAAATAAAAGAAATAAAAGAAATAAAAGAAATAACAAAAATAAAAGAAATAAAGAAAATAAAAGAAATAACAAAAATAAAAGAAATAACGAGGTTGAGGGTCAATTATCCGTTTTGGCAACCTCTATAATGTACGATTGTCATTTTCTCCCTGTAACACTGTATAAGAATATATGAAATGTTACTAATATTATATGCTTAAAAAAATTATAAATTAATTAAAGTAATTAATAATTAGAACAAATTAAATTCAGTTTATATTAATTTATAAAAAATTAAAAAATTAAAAATTAAAAAAGCAAGTAAATATAAATAAGAAACTATTATATTATAAATTATAATATATAATAATTTAATTAATTATTTTTTTTTTTTTTTTGCGAGGCACTTCTCAAATTGTGATCTTTATTAATTGTTGATTCAATTTTTACAGAGAAAAG